AGACACACGTGTGTGTGTCCGAGTGGAAGTAGGTAAAGTCTCTGCAGGTCAGTGTGACTGTAAGTGCTGACTGAGGTATTGGATGACCTTGAGGTAGCTGGCGTTGAACAATGACGCCGGACTAAAGCAATAGAGGGCGTCGGACGGCAGAGACCGCTACACATGTATCGAAGCCAGTGACTCAGGTCGCCTTCACTATGTCTTAATCCATGCTAACGATATGTACTTTTAAAGTAATGCTAACTTGGTCCACAGAGCATTGTTATGCAATCGCGCTCGTTTCTACAATGAGGTCAGGTCAGTTAGCTTCGTTCTTACACACTCTCCTCACTCCTTTGAATCTAGCAAATGCACTCATGCTTTGACTTTACAGATAGCGAGAAGGCCCTATTCACAGCCTCGATGACAGCCTTCGTTGCTGGCTTCGCCCTACCTGTCCTGGTAACGCTTGGATCCACAAAACCGCTGGCAAACGAAGAGGCCCAGATTGTATGGAGGAGATTGCAGGAAATTGATAATCCACTTATGCCCTGGCCGGAAGTTTATTCCCAGTAGGTTAACCACATCTCCTCTGATTCGTAGTTCCCACTTCCTCTTGAGCTAGTGCAACATGCTTCTTATTTCCACTTTCAGGCATAGTGCAAACACCCCATGATGAGCTATGTGTGTCTATGTTGCCATTGGTATCTAACGGACTAGGTAGGACGTTGAGATTGTGCAAGCTTAAAACACAAATTTACATGTTACTATAAATTTGATAGTAGGTAATATATAAATTATAAGAAATGGATTGGTCATCTCGTGTTTGTCGTGAAGACCTAACACGAGCTTCGATAATTATTGCAGCTTGTATTAGAAGTGCTGAAAAGCTAGACAACCAACGGACTCGAACTACTTCTCTATCCAAGACGGGTTTCTTAAACCGCAGGTTGATAACGATAAGTAGTATGACCGAAGAGCTGGGTATGAAAGTCTGCTCATTAGGGAGTGCTCACTCTCTTTCGGAATACCGTTTATATTTCGCTTTTAAAAATGTTTCCCATGAGATGAGGATTTGACTGCGGAAGAAGGACTCATAAAATAAGTTTCAATTCTTATTCTAAAGGGAACTTGATCTCCGGTACTCATTACATCTGAGCGAGGGAAAACCGGCACTTTCTGAGGTCCAGCGAGCCCTACAGTTCACCAAACGCGTAACCCAACTGGGATTTTGCATCAACTTCCTGTGTTTTACTATCCTCTGCCCCGCCCTCACAATGACTTCACAGATCCTCTCCTTCGAGACCCTCTCCATCTGGGTAATTTGCTTAGTTTGTAATTTATTTCAGCAAAGAGTTCAAACTATCTGTCGTCTAGAACAGACGCTCCGATTCTTCTAACCCCTTTATGCAAAAAAAGCTAGCGGTGCATTATGCTACGTTTGAGACTTAGCAAAACATCATGCTGAGGAAAAGACGATGAAGACTCAGAAATTGTGAAGGCCACAGAACCCTTCTACATTGTTTAGAAAAACTGGCCTTCGTTTTCCTATGCTATATTGTTGTTGAACTTGCAGAGAGGCCCTTAATCTGAAAAAAAACATATCCTTCGTCTTACGGGAGTGACTTGCACTGACTTCAAGACGGAATAGCCATTTCTACCTTGTTTTGGAGCTTATTTTCAATAGCTCGTGTAAGCGCTCGCATGGCCGGCAGCATTTAATATGGGGTTGTTCCATAAGATCGTGCGATTTTCAGTTATTCAAATTTTTATCATGAGTATTACTCATAAAACAAATGAATGTTCATTCATTGTTCACAACCTCCTCCCAAAGTGAGGGCAATTTTCCAGCACCGTTCTCGAAGAAAGCCGTGGGTATTGTCTCAAAGGCGTGATCGATCCAATTTTGATTACTCACGTCGTTATTGGAGGATACTCTTGTCAAATAGTTTTCCAGTGACTCTAACGTCCGGGCAGTGCTTGTACTCAGAGCACTACAATCATCAGACCGAATCCTGGATTGATGGAAAACACAGAAGACACCTATGAGGGGATTTATTGTGCACAGAACGCTCAGTTGCTATCTCAGGCGGCAGGGGAAACTGGTGACTGTGTTCAGTCATACCTGAGAGAGTGAGAGACAGCGGTGGCAGCTATTTTTACAGGATTGTGGAGGAAGCCCGAGCAGGGGGAGGGGGGTGGTGTCGTGTAGTCTGGCCCCTACTGCGTCAGCC